GCAGGCTGGGAGCTGACGGCCCAGGCCAGCTGTGGTTAGCAGGTGGTGCGAGAGGCATGGAGTAAGTAGTCTGTGCCCTAGATCCCATGTGCTCGCCCCTAGCCCTCTCACCACAGAGCCATGGAGCGGGAGGCTGATAAACAGTGTGGGGTGGGGGAGCACTTCCTTTCCAAGAACTGAGAGCCTTTCAAGATAAACAAATTCAGACTACCTCCTTTTTACATGCAAGGAAGCTGAATGGAGACATTTCAGCATGGCTCCCAGGCTTTGGCACTTGGAAACAGTTTTCTGCTTCCTGTCAGGTGCTCAGATCACTAGACTGCAGTTTCGCTATAAATTCTAGTTTTCACTTACTCAGTTCCCTCAGTCTTTTATTCACTCACTCAGCCATTTGTATTCAGCTCCCCTGTCTGCTGTCACTGTGCTGCGCCCCACAGGGGTACAAGTTGTCCTCGAGGAGGGTAAAACACGTCTCAGACTCAAACACCCGAAAGCACACCTGAGCGGCCTCCCTCCGTCTTTCCTAAAGACTCTGGGCTTTTCAGACACAGACCTCAGACCTTGCTACCACTGATCCTCCTGAGCCGCACCCCAGGTTTATTCATGTGCTGCAGCAAAAAGACAATCTAACACGTGTTCGCTGATTTCACCTAACTGTACAAAGTGTACATGTCTGCCTCAGACCAGTTCACTGTTTGGTACACAGTGACCATCTAAGAAAGTGAGCCGGGCACTAGGAGGCCTTTGGCTCTATCCTACACCGAGGTGAGTTCACCAGGGTCCCACATGCGGACAAGCACTTTGCAAAGTAAAGCAAAGACAGAGGGATCTTTTTGGGGGATCTCTCCAGGACCGTACCTTTAACAGGGACATCATCTGTTATTCCTTCCACTTTGGGGGAGAACACAAAACAGAGGTAGCGCATTGATACTGAAAAATCAATGAATAAAAGATGAGTGTGTTGCCCTGTGCAGAAAAGAAAAGATAAGGTTCTTAAGAAACTGTCTGGAGGTGGGAAGGAAGTAATACATCCAGTTCTAATATCCACATTCAGCGCTGGGGGAGGGAGGAATTTATCCTTGAGGGGCTTCCTATGTACTGTTATTGAAGAGGGAAAGTAAGGAAGGTGAATGGAACGGATTCTCAAGTATCTGAAAGAATTAATTAATCTCAAAGAATTCTGCCTAGAGTAGTGTAGTTATTTATGTTGTGGGTTCGGGGCACTTTCCTATAGGACCTAAAACCCTGGAATTGTGCTTTCTTTAAGGAAATGACTTGGAAAGCCCCTCTGAGAAAATAAATGCATTATTTGCATACAAATAACACAGCAGTAAAACATTGTTACTCTCTCATGGCTCAGAAACAATTACTCCTATTGGGTCTAACCACTTAGAAGGACCGTACAAGAATGAGACATAGAACCAGTGAGCTTTAATAATGAGTTGGGGATAAGTTTTTTGTTTTGTTTTTTAAAGAAAAGCAGGAAGTCTGAGAGAAGGGTAAATCTGGAGACAAGGTGCTGTGACGAGAAGGCAGATGCCTGAAACAAATGTGGCCCTTTCACAGTTCTCTTCTGTGACCACCTCAGAGACAGCCTGGTATGACTCCCCACATGGTTCCCAGAAAGACAGGTGCCAGGGTCTGCGTGTGCTCACCCCCGGTATACCTTCTCTTCTCCCTTCTCAGTCCACGCACGTTCTCAGATACTATATTGAAAGTAGAGTGAAAAAGAAAGAAAGAACGTTTACAAGGGAAGACTGAAAGTTTGGAGAGGGGATGTCCCATGGACCAGCCTTGCTGATGGTGCGTGGCAGGTGGGCGGGGTTTTCAAAAAGAGCGGTGAGATGAAAGTGTAACATTCATAGATCAGCGTCCCTTCCCCACATTTCCTTGTGCTGTTTGTCACCTCTGAACTGTGAGGCCAGGGCCAACCCCCAGGCTCATGTCCTTGTTGTGTCTCCCTTTTCAAGATCATATTAAAGAGGGTGACTTCTAATAGCATGGGGGGTAGGTGAGAAGGGGGGAGTTGAGGTGACGTTCACTACTAAACAAATGGCAGCCCCAGCTCAGCTAGATGCAAATTAGAACCTATGACATGAATCACAATCCAAAGGCTGTCTGGTCAATGAAATTCAAGTAATCTTCCTTTTCAACAAGAGGTTCAATGTCACCTTTGCTATCTGTGAAATGGAATTATGACCTTTGCTTTTCTGATACAGGTAGACACTTCTCAGATAATCTTGTGTTTTCATTGCTATTAACCTACCTGTTATTAATAAGATTGTGGCACAGTACATTTCAATCAATGAAATATTTTGTTTTCATTAACTGGTAATATTTCATTGATAGTTCCGAATGTACTTCAAATTTTGTAGATCCAGAGTCATTTTTAAGACCCTTGATAATTGTTCAGTACTGTGAAATTGTGCAGTCTGCTGTGTGAAATGTGTGGCTATTTAACCCCAGGTTAAAGAGAATTTGCTGTACATAGTTTAGATTTCAATGACTAGTCTTACTGTAAAGTCTTCTATAATTAGTTAATGAATTTACTTTTATTTTCAGGGTTTGTCCAAGTGCTTTTTACTTGCTGGTTTTAAAAGAAGCAGTTGTAAGTTAGTAAAATACTCATTCCCAACAATATTCTTTAATCTAAATACTTACATACAGGAAGCTCATAAAAACTCAGACATAAAAACAAAAAAAAAACTCTTCTACAGAATTATAAAAATGAGATGATTAGAGAAAGAAGGCTAAGGTAGGCAAAAAGATTGCTTTTAAAAGGTAATTGTCCCACAAAGTTGAAATAAAAATGCTTCTCCCAGTGAAACCTAAGTGAATATCAAAGTGATTTTAGTGACAACAGTAACACTTTGACATACATTTATTTCATGTGATTATCTCAAATTCCCTAGGAGGAAAATGGGGCCAATGTTATTAATGTCTCTATATCATAGATGAAGCAATGGAGATTTATACAATTTAAGCGAGACTGTCCAGGTTTAGAGTGAGTTAGGATTCAAGTCCAGCTTTTATGATGTCAATTTCTGAACTCATTTCAATACCACCATCTGGGCTTTAAACCCAGTCTGGGGAGGCAGCAGATTTGCATTACACAGTGGTGTAATTATACTCCAATTCTCCTCTTTCAAAATGCAGGAATATTGTACACGTTTTGGGAAAATGACATGCAAACAATTTGAAGTCATTTTTGAACATCTGGGCATGACCTATGGTAGGGCCCCCAAAAAACAAGTCTCCTGTGTCAACTTCTGAAACCTTGAGGACTGCACATTTTAGGTAATTGATTCATTGTGAGCTAGATATGATGAAAACATTATTAGTTTCCTTTTATTTGTATGGCTTCTCTCTGCATTACATTAGGTTTCCTCTTGACAACTGCCCAGAATTGTTTCTGGCTAACGGGATGGCTTTCTTAGTGTGCTAGGGTTTAGTTGACTGCAATAAAATAAAAAATAACAACGGCTAAATGAACACGGGAGCACATTTTTGTTCTACTTATACAAATTCTGTATATAGGTCACTTTTAGTTCATGCAGATCCAGGGAAAAGCCCTGAGACTGAAAATATACCTTTGTTAGCAGAATGCAGGGAACAATAGAAGAAAGAGTCTGTCCACTCTGGTCTGGTCATTAATAGAGTTTATCAAGGGAAACTTACATAGAGGAATGTCTCAGGCAGTTCCAAGATGAAATGGAGTCATGTACCATTTGTCAGGCACCAACGAATTATATAAGATAAAAGGGTGGGAATAGTCATGGGGACTATTGCGTTCATGCTACCAGATATGAGAAATTACTTTACATGCTTGACCAGGCAGGACAACAACCTTGTCCAGACCAGTGAAAACAGGAGGCAAGGGAGGGATGCTGATGTATGTCAGAATGAATATCAATTATGATCAGTCTTCATTCTGGCCCCGGTTCAGCTTGTGAGTGGTCACATCATGGAACAGTCTCTCCTCCATCTTCCAAACCTTATGAGCAGCTCTTACAACCTAAGTGGCCCCCTCTTCTCAGGGTGCCAGCGTGGTCAGTGAGAGGCTTCAGTAGCAAGGAGTAGCTGACCACATTGGAGACAGTCTGCAGCAACCATACAGACACACCCTAGAAAAGAAACAAACTAGAAGAAGCAGTCTAAGTATTTGTAATAAGTTTATTCCATCATGCCACCCCCCACCGGAACCAACCAATGAGTTAGTAGGTCACGCATGGTTGGGGCTGGATTCTTTAAAGCATTTGCTTGAGTTCTCATATGTGTTAGCAAAAAAGAAATCTTAGCAGATTCAGCTGGTATAAAAACATGACATCTAGTTTGGATAGTGGCACAGGTGCCCGTCCACGCCCCCCTCCCCTGTAAGTGGATGCCACAGCAACAGCAGAAGAATAAAGTCAGAAGGGTAGATATTGAGCAGGAACTTGAACTGGGAGATCTCCATCTATGAGAATAACATGTGTAGCCCAACCTTTAGATGGTAATGTGGCCACATTAACCTGGACAGGCTGCATAAACCATATCTGCTGGCCGGGGTAAGTGGTGCTCTCTGGCGTAAGGAGGTGAATAGGATGAGGAATATGTCAGACTAGGACGCCTACCATCTCCCCTCTTTGAATGGTGTGGGTACCCAGTCTACATAAAGCATGTCTCCGGAGGTCCTGCATTAGATGGCAGGGTCCCACTGGAGACTGAACAGTTCCTCCCCACCCAGGGGCAGGAAGTCACTGACCCATCCCAATGGAACGTCCCATTGCAGATTCCAGTAAACTGTCCCCGTCCCAATAGGGCATGGTGCCCTCATTATCGTAGCTTGTGGGGCCATGGCAAATGTCTATTATTGTGTCATTTGTTTTCCAACCTTTACCATATTGGAGGCTTCAGTCCGAGTTCCCAGCCTGGCATATAGAGTGATAGGCCACACAGGTTGGTTATATAAATGACCAACTCTATCGGTTGCTTAGGGACACCATTTTTTCATTTCACAGACAACTCAGCTGTGGCTTACCTGGAAGATGGAACCTCCCAGTAACTACACTGACCAGACCAGTGCACTGGAAAGGTATGCCCTACCTCCTTGGTTATGCGCATGCACCATCATACTTGTGCACTAAGTACCCACCTTCTCCGTGGACTTAATCCAAAGTGTATTCTTTTACCAAGGCCTCTGCTTCCTGGTAACCTGGAGAGGTAGACACCTATGGGCAGGGACATGGGAGATAATGAGATATGCCTCAGGCCCCTATAAGTGAGCCCAAATATATTTCCATATGTCTTGTCCCCATAAAGGTTTGTTCATAAACATCCACCATTGGCCAAGCCATAATAGCAGTCCTTTAAAATGGCCCAACTATTAGTGCACAGGATCAGTGACGTAGGTTCACGTGTGATTAACAACCACAGCTCTTCATTCAGCCCACTGACCACTGGGGTTTATTCTTGTTTCCCTCCAGATTGTGTCAGTGGATGGTTGGGTGGCACTGCCACCCAGGTAGATGGAGCCCCTGGGCTAGGACTGTTTCAGATACCAAGCTCCAGCAGGAACTCCCCCATGCCATGTCTCCAGGTTGCAGAAGCTGACAGAGAGACAGGAGCAGGAGCACCTGGAGGGTCTGCATACGAGGGGGTGGGATGGGGGGGTGCAAAGAGGAAAAGTAGGTTTACAGTTGTTCTTATAGAAAATAATACAAAAATTAATCAAGAATAATAGAAGAATAAACTGTTTTGCACACTCAGAACTGTAAACCTACTTTTGCCATACCCTGTATTTAACAGGGCCTGATAATGACTGCATCACTAAACACAACGGCCTATTTGACAGAGTGCTCTTCTGCTTAGCGGGCATGTGGTTCAGTCAGCTGAGGAGTCTGAGCCTGGCAGAGGCAGGTGGGGGGAACCTGCTGTATCCACCCCTGGGTGGGAAGTTCTTCCTGTGCCTGGCTGCTCTTTGGTAAGAGGCTCCACCTGCAGGATCACTGTACATACTGCCAATCATTGTTGTTCTGTTGGCATGTACCTGATCTCTGCCCCCTTCCACAACTGGGACCAAAATACCAGGAGCACTCTTTCCTTTTGCTGTTTATCTGTTTTGTTTTGTTTTGTTTTGTTTTGTTTTGTTTTGTTTTGTTTTTGCCACAAGACCCAGTCCATGCCTTCAGGGGTTACTGAAACATCTCATACAAATGGCAGCCCCACCTAGGAGATTCCACGGACTCTAATCTGTTTATTCAGTATTTTTATTTTCTCAAAGGCACCCTGTTGTTCGGCTCCCCGGTCCCATATATGGCCCCTTTTAACTAGCCATTATAATGGGTGAAGGCATTAGCTAAATGAGCATAAGTGTTCACCAGTACCCCCAAATTCTCACAAAAGCCTGTACCCTTTTCATATTTGTTGGTATGGGCAGGCTTGACTTTGCCTATGATGACCTCTGGGACAACGTTGGCCTTACCTGATCATATGACCCCCAACAGCTTTACCGTGGTGCCCGGACCTTGAATTTTCTGTGAATTCACTGCCCATCTTCTCTGCTGTAAAAGGTTCAGCACAGCCTGCGAGGTTTTGTGCAGCAGAGGTAAATCTCCATAGGTAAACATGTCGTCCATCTATTGAGTTTCATGGAGGTTGGGAAGGACAACAGTGACAGGCCCCAAGCCACCATCCCATGGAGCAAGGTGCGGCTATGTAAATAGCCTTGAGGGAGCACTTGGAAGGTATACCCCAAATGAAAGAGCATCAGCCTGGCACCAGGGGAAGGCTTCAACCCATCTGGAAACATACACACAACAGCAACCTGTACTAAGTGACCGTGGAATGAAGCCCAGCTTAAATGCACTATGATGCATGAAAGAATGCGAAAACTGAAAACTGGGGTTTGCCCAGGAGCCTAGAAGAACCAAGCAGCTGTCTTGCATTTCCCATAACCCCAACTATTTATTTACAACCATTGTTTACACATCTTAATTTCCCTGATTCAGGAGCAATCTGCGTCATATTACAAGTACACCAAGACAACAAAAGCCTGGCAATAAGGAGTCATTTTTGCAGAAGCAGTTTGACATGCACTAAAATTTTCCCAAAGATTCTTTTTCATAAACCTCTAATATTATTGCTAAAGGTTTCACCTAAAACTTTTTATTCTACTTAAATCTTTAATTTATTAGTTCTTAATTATGTTTAGGTTACCCACAAAAAAATTCATGAGACTTTAGACAAAATCAGCCATCATTCTAAGTTATTGTTTTTCCTAATAAAATTTTAAGCCTAGGTAAAATAAAGGTATTATATTTAATATTATATTTAATTCTGGCAACTCTAAAGACATATCTATTTTAATTAAACCAACAAACTGAAACTAGCTTTAATAGAAAATATTTCTCAGATCATGTGGTCCTGAAAAACATTTGGGTTAGTTTCCATATTTCTGAGAATTTTAGAGTATCCAACCCTTAATTTATATAAGCACTCAATTCCTTTAAGCCAATTAAACATAGCTCTTTCACAAGTTAACAATACCATTTGGAGATCGAAAATGCCACATACATACAACACATATATAGACACACGTGAACATATGAACAGGCACAAAGAGAGACCCCATAAAAGCAGTGGGATCTGTTCAAAGGACCTGTCTCCACACTGCCTCACCGCCCACCACCTTTATCATCCAGTCCTGATGCTAACAGAGTTGTAAACATTATAATATAATTTTCTAGTTTCAGTCATTCCTCTAATTTTCCAACCCTGGCTTCTGCCTCTCGCTGGGTATCAGTGCCAGCCAAACCTCCTATAAGAGCGGCCAGCCCACAGAGGCAGCTGTAACTTGTCCTTTCTTGCCACAGTGCGTGGTACATAGTTCTTCAAACAAATACGTAAAACCAGCTGACATATTTGGGGAATTCTCATACTCATGCAATGATCCACACACATCCAGCATACAGGCCACCCCTCCCACATGAAGGTTGATGGCCAATCAGGGATGTCCCCCACTGATGTCTCTTTCACAAGGTCCATTTCTTCAAAATACTGGCTCGTTCACCAAGTGTTAGTGGAAAAAGCTCCAAGACTGAAAATCTGCCTTCGTAAGTGGAGGGCAGGGAACAACCAAAGGAAGGGGCTGACCCAGCAGTCTGGTCATTAAATAGAATTTATTAAAGCATAGTTATATAAGAGGCACGTCTTGGGCAGTTGCAAGACAAAACGGATCCCCATGCTGCCGAGCAGGCACCAAGGAATTACATAGAGTAAAGAGGGGGAATAACTGCGGGTACTAGTACATAAAGCTACCAGGTATGAAACATGACTTTACATATTTGACAGGATCAGGACAACAACCTGTTCTAGGAACCATCACATAACAGAAAGCTAGGGAGGCGGGTGCTGATTTATGTCAATATGAACATCAGCTATGACCATATAGTCTCGAAGAGGGAGCTTCAGAAAGCAACCTCTATTCTGTCCCAGGTCCAGCTTGTGGGACAAGCAGTGGTCATACTATGGAACAGAGTCTCCTCCATGGCAGTCCGGGGCTGATCTGGCCATGACTTGGTCATCAGACATCGATGCTATGTGTAGCTGTCATTCTTAGTACTATTGCCTCATGGTCCAATATGACTGCTGGAGCTCCAGCCGTTACACTGCCTCTCATCAGCCGGAAAGAGGAAGGAGTACTTCTTGCATATATTGGCCAGAATTTAGTCACATGACTACATCAAAATGGGGAATATTGGAAATGTAGTGTTTTAATTGGTTCCCAGCTGATAATCAGGGTTCAGTTGTAAAGAAGAGGAGAATAGATACTAGGCAGCAACTGACACTCTCTGGCACAGTTAAAGAATGGTTCCTATTTTATATACCTGTATTGCATGACTTTTAAAATGTATTTTCTGTGAAAAAGTTTTTATGTCAGAGAATCTATCGAGTTTCTGACTGAGGATCATAGTTATTACATTACTAAGAACAAGAAAAGCTGAATAATAATTTGCTATATTATTTTGCACTTAAATTCAGCAACTGGCTTTTAAACTATTTTATATAAGATTCAGATTTCAAATAGCCAAACTGTGACTAATAGATTTTAGTCATTTTTCTTCATTATAGACAATTCATAACATTTTTATTGGGGATGAGTCAAGATTTTCTTTCAATGCCTAGCAGTGTCTTACACATAATAGATATGTAATCTATAATCTGTTTTCTGCAGTTTGCATGAGTGCTAAATTGAATTGACCTTCCCTACTCAGTTGAATTAATTTGCCTGATAGATAAAAGACCCTTGATAGATTCTGCTAATATCCAATTATTAGTCTCAGGACAGTGTTACACTGACTCTGATTTAATTTGATTATATTGGATGATTGTGGGTTATTGCTATGCATAGAAGAGACCTCAAGGGATCATGTCACTTCTTGGATATGTAAATGTTTTGCCTCTGACAGTGACCACACCTGCAGCTTCAGAGACTAGGAAATCCTCCCGAATAATGAAGTGCACAGAGGTCAGTCAAATCAGCTCTCTCCTGGAGAATAAGGACTATCATTGCTAATTTCAATTACCATATTTATGATAGCCTTTAATCTTATTTAATCCTCAAATATCGACTTAGTAATATACTATAAAAGCACATCTGATTATTTTCTTTGATCTGAGCTACATGTCCTGTGATTTACCTTTTAAAAATGACATACAATTGTAATGAATGAGACCCTTAGTGGCTGTCTCTGATTATAAGTTATACAATAGAACAAAACTTTCACCTATCATTAGATTTAATTTGTCTTTAGGAATATATTCCTAACTTTGCCCTGGCCGGTTTGGTTCTGTGGTTAGAGAGTTGGCCTGTGGACCAAAGAGTCCCAGGTTCGATTCCGGCCAAGGGCACATGCCTTGGTTGTGGTTCGTCCCTGGCTCCAGCTGGGGTTGTGCAGGTGGTAACCAGTCTATGTGTCTCTCTCACATTGATGTTTCTCTCTCTCTCCCTCCCATTCTGTCTGAAGATAAAATGTAAGAATATCCTTGGGTGAGGATTAAAAAAAAAAAAGAAATATACTCTTAGCTTTGGAATTAGAATGGCCTTATTTTATTAATCATCCTGGGCAGTCTTTCAGTTTTCTTTCTGGTCACCTTCATAATGCATTAAACTGGAAATAAAAAAACCAGATTTATAAGGAGGGGGGTCACCATTTTTATTTAGCCCCCTTGGCATCTGTTTGGCTCAAAGAGTCGCTAATTTTGCTAATGGATAGGGTGAAAATTGTACAGTCTACAACTTGGTATTTAAAAAATGACTTTTGAAAGTTTCTATACAGAATGAAACTTTCCAGAACCCCGAGGACACCCCGGTGTGGGGGAGGGGCCTTCTCCTGGAGGAGGGCGGGGCACGGGGGGAAGATCACAGCCTCTCTGGCTTCCCCTTCTCCGAGAGTACACGCGCGTGCGCCAGAACCCTGCGAGGCTGTCCCCTCCACGGCCGCTCGCCCTTTTCCCCACTCGGGGTTTATATTTTCATCACCCTCCCACCTGTGAAGTCTGATGCTCAGGCCCTCTGGAGGAGCACGGTTGTCGTCTCCTGCTTCCCTTCCTGTGTGGCCCCTCCTCCTAGCACCAGAAGAGCTTTGGCTTGCAAGGCTCCTTCACACTGTTTTCTCTGCCCGTGGGCTTTGCTCTCCCATTTCCCCGGGGCTGTAATGATGGAAGGTTGCCATGGGTGTGGGGAGTGGATGGAGGATACTGTTACCAATACAAAAAAATAATTAACGGGTACTTAAACATTAAAAGAATATTGTTACTGATTCATTTTTAAAAATTCCCTGTTTTACTGAGCAGCACAACTTCATTCTTTCTCATCTTTGAAGAAAATACATTTTAGAATATGTTTCCTTCAAATTCATAGGATATGAGTTTCCAGGCTACCCTTACTCTTTTATAAATAAGGTAATTTTGAATAGTTAACATAATTTTGCTATTTTAATTAATTTAAATAATGTTATTTACCAGTGCAACAGATAGCTATGATAGCTAAGCCATACGGTTTTGTATATCTGGTAACAACCAGTTTTCAGAACTCAACCTAAAAATTATGGCCGTAAATAGGCCCCTGACCAGCTCAAGTTCTCCATGAAAATAAATCCCGCAGCCCAGGATCGTTTAGGAACCCGGCTCTGGTTAAAGTCTACTTGCCGGGATAAGGCTGCGCCCTCCTGGTTCTGAGACCAGGAGACTCCAGATGTGGAACAAGCCAGACAAATGTAATGAGTCAGAAACCAGCCAGCAAGGGTGGTGCAAGGACGTGTTAGTCTCTAGTGCACTGTCTTGCTGATACCGATTAATTGTTCTTCCTTTTGCATGGTTTACATTTACAGAGCTAGGGAGGGCATAATAGATAAGATAGGATGTGAATTTGGCCAGGTGTGCATGGTTATCACCAAGCTAAAAGGGGGGAAAAATCTCCCTTCTACACATATAGTGCATCATAAATCCGCCAGCAAATACTAATGAGTGCCATTCTGCCTGATATGCTGCACTCTTCAGAGAATATTGACAACACACCCCCTGATTTCAAAGAGCTCGTGTCCTGTTGAAAAGATCATTTGTTTGTTCATTCATTCATTCATTCTATCAGCAAGTATTTATTGAGTTCACCCTTTGTGCCAGGCACTGTGATATGTGGACATAGAGCAGAAACAAGATAGATATGAAGCCTACTTCCATAGAGCTTATAATCTGGTGGTACTGATATTCAGTAAGTGATTCTTTATTCAAATATCCCCAACTGTAGTCATATGGAGTTCTTTTCCTTTACTCTCAAATTAAAGACTTCAAGGAAAAGTGGTATGGTACCCAGGTATTAATGGAGAAAGTAGGATTTGAACTAGCCCTTGAAAGAAAATTAGGCTGTGCATATGCCCAAAGGAATGGGAGCCTGTTCTGGATGAGGAAAATTGTGAGGACAGTGGATAGAGTACATTAGAAGCCAGAGTTGATTGACTGATAGACACTGGGGGTCACTAACGTTGAGATCAGATTCCCCAACTCATCATCTTAGGTGTCTGCAGGGCCATTGCTTAGTTTATTTAAGCTCTTTAGTGTGAGATATGTAGCATCATCACTCAGGTTAGTGCAATAGAGGGGAGGTTTATTGTGAGGATTTTTATGGCCTGGAGTGTGTTGGCTGGAGTTAGAATGTAGGTCAGGATGCAGAGAATCAACAACTGGAATAAATAGAAAATCATGCTGGCCCTCCACCATCACTGGCCCTAGCTATTTCTACCTGTTTAATTGTGTTTCTGCCACCAGCTGCCAATTCTTTACCTCTACTGTCAACAAATTTCTTCACTTCATAATTTTTATTTGCTTATAGTACTTGCTTCCTCATGGCACTGGTCCTGCTTAAGTTCCCCATTTTCAAATTCAGATTTTCAAGAGAGAAAATCTGTGCCTTGTTAGTTTATTGTTCCTTTGCTGGCAGGTCACATATCAATGACTAGCCTACAGCTTAAGTTTACGTACCTTGTCCAGTTGGGTATACCTGGGAAGTACAGAATCCTGTACCAAATATGGTGGCCTATGGATGCCCCTTTAGCAGGGGTTGTGTGCAAAGGAATAGGCAAGGCTGGTATGATGAATGGGATCATGTCCAGCGTAGCTGACAATGAATAATTAATACTTGCTGAGAGCTGACCTGTCATCATGTTGGGCTCTAGTCTAAGAACTTTCTATATATTAATTCTTTTAATCTTGCCAACAATTTTATCAGATAGGTACTGTCATTGTCTTCATTTTCTCCTTAACTGAGGAGGAAACTGAAGCCCAGAAAGTTTAAGTAATTTGCTCAAGGTCACATAGCTAATAACTAGTGGAACCAGGATTCTCTCAAGCATGTTATAGAGCCCACTGTCTATTACACCAGATGGCTCAATGTGGGGTTTTATGAGGTTGGGTTATAGCAGAGACCAGAGGCAGAGACTCACTTGGGGGCCTAGAGAAGGCTGCAGTGATTCCGGGAGTGGATATGAAAGGGGGCCTGAGAAAGGTGCTGAATGGTTAGGGAAGAAAGGATTTCCCAGATACATAAGAAAATAAGAATTACTTGCATTTGGTGATAAGTTGGAATAGGAATTTTGAAATAAATATTCTAGTGAAACATATTGTTAAGTGCCCTCCCAATAAGAGGTTAACTAGTTGGAGAAGAAATTAAAATTTTCTTAGAAGTGGAAAGATGACGAATTGGCTATTTGAAGGTATAGTATCTAAACATTTTATCAAATGCTGTGGAAGAAACGGTTACATTCTTTCTTACAGGGAAGAATTTCATAGTCAAAATATCCCTGCCTCTGGATATTCCCCACAAAAAGCTGGTGAGACTTTTAGAATATTGAGAAACTCTTTTTTTTTTTTTTTTCATTTATATAAAGTAGAATTTTGAGGGAAAATATTCCCCACCCCCCTTACTTTGCAGGATGAAATAGAGAAAATCTGTGGGATGAGTTACATCTTAATGTTGATATTCAAGCCTCTCAGCACAGATGTACCAAGAACTGTAAGGGGTGCAGCAGAGCTGTGGACAAGACTCCCTGGGACCAGAGCCTCGAGCAATCACTGCTGTCTGTGGAAGCCGGGACTCTCCTCCCAGGAGGCATTTTTAACTTTGGAACCCTCTTGCTGCATCAGGGTATTTATTAGCCACTAAACATTAGTTTGTATTCGTCAACGTCTTCGATTCCTCTGAGTGTGGTCATAGTTCGGTCGTACCAGTTGCCAACCAGCTCTACCCAATCTCAGTTCCGAAGTGAAACACAGTGTAGTCTCTCTCTCTCAACAACTATTTGCCGAATAACATTGCTCTAGGGGTGATTACAAGTGGATCAAGTTACTTGATCAATTATTGGGCCTCATGATGAAACACAAATAAGGAAAATAAGGAAGCTGAATTCCAGACAAGAATTTGCTGCAAATTAGCTTTGTGACTATAAAAAATAATAACCTTGCCTCATATCTTCGTCCATAGATGAAAGAGTGGATTACATGATCTCCAAGACACCTTTTAGCTTGAAAATGTGCAGTTTTGTTCACTCTTACAGGGATCACCACCCTCTTGGTGACAGCAGGCACAGTGCCTGAGCACTCTCCAGCTCTCAAGACATGCTTTGCAAATTCCAACCAGTTAGATGATGACAAAAGTCACCATGTATACTCAGGAGCATGATTATATGCCATTTTCTTGTTATCGCAATAGTTTCCCTCCTAGATTACACATTCCTTCAAGGCAGGAATTAAGAAATGCAGAATACATATTATTGTTTGGGTCAGGTAAAGCTCATTTGGTATCAGAAGACTACATTTGTATTTCAACATTCTAAAATTATTCATATTTCCCCCCCTTAGAGTAGGTCAAATTCTGCCTCTACTGATTTCTATGTTTTACTTATTACTTTGACCAATTAACCCCTTTTCATAGATCATAAAAGTATAAAATTTAGTTCAGCACTCATAAGTACTTTGTTCATTTCAGATGAATGAAGTTTTGTTATAGTTGTATAAAAACAGAAGGCCAATCTTGCAAATACTCGGTATAACATGCAGTACAGGTGTATCTAGCCTCGGTATTACGATATCAGAGATGATAGTAAATACCTAAAGTCTCCAAGAACCTAGTTTTACTGTCCTGGGGATAAATCCACTCCTAGGGAGTTGGAGACAGTGAGGCAGTGTGTAAAGCGTTGTCAGCGTGTGTCCTGGAACCAGACCACCTACATTGAATGCAGGCTCTGCTACTTAACCTATGGACAACCCTGGACAAGGTATTTAAACTCTCTGTGCCTCAGTTTCCTCCTCTGCCCAGAGGAGGTGATCACAGTACCAATTTGAAAGACTAAAGTAAATTAATACTTGTAAAATGGTGAGAACAGTTTCCGAGAAAGAGAAAGTACTTTGTAATTTGGATTATTACTTAGGAGGGAGAGGAAAGGTGAACAGCAGATACATTGCACAGAGAAGTTTGTGGTAAAGGGAGTTGAGCAATCAAACCACATTACAGAATGGGGAAGCATCAAGCAGTCAGGCACATTTCTGTGTATTTTATTTCCCAAGATAAGGGAAGTGGGTGAATATTTGAAAGGGGTGGAATGGCGCCAGTGCACAGGAAGGCAGAAGGAGAGGACGGTTGTGGGGCAGGATGATCTGTAATAAGAGGTGTTAGGAGGTAAGTAATTATTGAATAGTCTTCTCTGCATTCCTCTGGAATCCAGCTCCCCTGTATAATATGGTGCAGATTTGGTATTGAACTTTGGAAGAGAATGATGCAGACCACCACACCCCTGCACTGTTCAGGATCAGGCAGCGGACGGGGAGAAGCTAGTGAGCTAATGTGTGGTGAGCAGAGGAACTCGGATGACGTGCGGAGAGTAGCTATAGCCTTGTGGTGCACCTGGGTTATTCTGGAAGAAACCGCACAGACACACTAGCACAGTGTGTCAGAGTGGCTTCAGGAACACAGGTGACAGACATCCTCAGCCAAACCGCAGAGTCTGACAACCACCAGGCCATGGCAGGAGACCAAATAGCCGGGCTGTGTTCAGGTGCCTGGAGTGTGGCTGCTCATATTTCACAATTGCCACAGGAAAATAATTCAGTCCATGAATCAAATTCAAATTGAAGATCGATTTTTCTCTCTCTCTCTCTCTCTCTCTCTCTCTCTCTCTCTCTCACACACACACACACACACACACACACACACACACACACAGTCTTTTCTATCTTAACTGGAAGCTTTAAAAATATCCTGTGGTATATGGCTCAGAAAATAAAGCTGTGTTAACTGAAATCTTTGGGCTCTCGTATCCAGAGAGAGAATCAGCTTTGCTAGCAGATTGAATATCATACATATTTGGCAATTTGGGAAAAAACACAGTAGAGCTGTGAGCTTGGCTAAATCCAGAGGAAGAGGATTTTTTGAGCCGGAAGATCTCTGGCACCATAAAGACCATAGAGGACACCATCTTCACAGTGACAGTGCAATGACGTCTAAGGGAGGCCTGTTAGTGCCTTCCCTCCTGCACTCTCAGGAGAGACCATCCTTTTGTGTAGATGAAAGTCAGTAAATTTAAGGGGTAAAGTGTTAAATGGAATTAATTGTAAAAGAGTTTGGCATCACCTGGCATATGGTGGGTTTTCCAAAGTGTTTCTACTTTTTTTTCTTTCCACCCAAGGTAATTCCCTTTTTAAATATTGCTTCTCATTACAGATGGCAACATTTTGTCCCAAGTTGAAGGGATTTCAGACATCAATAGCCCCAGTGGAGAAGATTACTTTTTATAGGACATCTTTCCCAGAGTCCCTCACTCTATGCATATTTCTTTTCCACCAGATAAACTTAACTTGACAAACATTTGCTTGGAAGTATACTCCACACGATTGGAGTCCTACTCAGAAACTCTCAGATCCCACATACCCGTTCTGTCTACCCATCCCCAGCTTCTGCTTGTTTCGCTGCTAACTGCTCACACTGTGACCTTCAGAGGCTTGGCCATGGACAGAGCCAGAGAGCCTACGCGCTGTATTCCTCCCTAAAGAAGTGATTGCTGATGGGTGTGGGAGTAGAAAAGCCCAGACCCCTTGTCTAGTGACAGTACAAACTTCGAAGTACAATTTATACTCCTGAATTTTCCAAAGCTTCAGACTGAGGCTAGAATCACCTAAAATGTTGCCGTTGCTTGTCTTCTCCTCCTCTTGTTTTACAGTTCCACTCCCTTACTGGTCTGTGCTCCTGGGAGCACATTTTTTATATCTCTGGCACAAAAATTCTTGGCTCAGGATCTACATCTGGGAATACTAAGCCTAAAATAGTCATTATCATTCATTCATTCATTCATTCATTCATTCATAAAATTACACTAAGTGTCTAAGTGCTTTTTCCAGTCTAGTGAAGAAGTGTGATACATAGTTAGATGAAAAGTAACCATGGATATTCTCAGGAAAGTCTGTGAAGCATATAGAGACTACACATTTCTAGAGCCAAAGGGGACTTTTAAAATATGAGCATGTATCCGATCTGATAAAGTAGCTTACACCTAGTAATTTCTAGTTTGTGCTACAAGATTTGATCAGTTCTGGACCTCATAATGTTGACCACGGGGGAGAGCCAATCATTTCCTTAGAATTTGATTTCATTCGAAAACATTTATTGGGTTCTTATGATGAATCAGCGTTCGAGAAACTGGCAGACTAACTACAATGTGATAAGTACATCTTGAGTAATGTATGCAACGCTCCGGAACTATAAGAGAAGAAATGACCCTTTCCTAAGAAATTGAAAGACTGGGTCTCAGAGGATAAGTTGAATTAGTTCTCAACAGAAGTAGATGGAGGCATTTTAGAAAGGGGATAGCAAACTCCACAGTAATGAGGTGTCCAGGAGCTGGGCAGGTCTCTTGAAGAGTGCGTAGTTCAGTGAATCAAAGCAGACTTTACACAAAGAGGAGAGGCAGGAGATAAACCTGGGGGTCTGGGTCAGAGCCACTCAGTGGTGGGTCTCAGACACTTTAGAATGGAGAAGCTTCTAAGGTATTTAGGATTTGTCGAGGCTTGCCTTAGACAAAATCTGAATGATTTTTTGAGAAAAGAAAGAAGACTCAGAAACACAAATTTGTTAGAAGGCTATCATTAGGTTAAATGATATGCAATTTCCAATATCCAACCATTTTGACCTGACAAAAATGACAATTTCATGCAGTTCAAACTAATACACAAGCCAACAAGAAGGAAGTGTGGAGACTGAAGACAAGGGGTAAAATAAAAGAGACACAGGGAAGAAAACTGGCATGAAGTGGATGAACCAGGGGATACAGGAGGAGAGTAGGTTGCAGGAATCAGGTGTGCCAGTGAAGCTGAGTTTTCTCATGAGACGGATAGAATCGATCATGCAGAGTATCCACAAAGGAGACAGGGCTCACTGGAGACGTAATAGGGACTCATACCACACCTCAGAACCCCTGGCTCTTCACATATTACCTTCTGGTGCCTCATATATATATATATATATATTTCAGTTTCTTCTTTTTCTGCTACTTGACATAGTGCAGGCACATGATAGTCAAATTCCTATAATTGTATCTGCTCCTAAAGTTGAGCCAACAAATAATGCAATCCCAAGTGCATTTACGTAGTTAAAGCAGGCTGCTAAATAAGAACCGAAGTAGCATAACAGGAAGAGAAAGCTATCAGCTTTCTGGTGCAGAAGCCCGACCTAACCAGATTGTTCTTGAACATGTGCGGGGTTGATCTTCTCATAAAAACGCACACTGGGGATGTAAAAGTTCTCAGAGAATAACAGGAAAACCTGTTTGTTTGTTTTCTAAACCTGTTTGTTTTTTTCTACTCTGACCTCAACTCTTCTAGAACCACAGTATTTCTATAAAAAGTGCTACTAAAATTTTTCTGTTTGCTCTAAAATAGATTTTGGCTAAAGTGTAACCTGTGTTGCAAAGAAGACATGTTATTTTATTTTCCTTCAAATAACAGTGCCTTCCTAAAATAGAAATTATCTATTTGCTTAACACAGTCAAGAATTGGAGAGCTACATGTCTATCTGGACATCTTAGGTAATGTCATACCACTTGGGATGGGGATGCTGTTTAAAATAATGTTAACGAAACTTTTGAGATAAAAAGGACTCTAGGAATCCAATAAAAAAGGTTGACTAAGGAACCACTGAGTTTTATTTTCCTCTGCTTTCTCTTGGAACATTTTTTTTTTTTTTTTTTTGGTAAGAATTTAGTTTTAATCTGCTATTTTTGGTAAGAGAATTACTAAGAAATGTATAAAAGGAAATATTTGTCAGGTATTTTCCTCTTAGTATTTTCATTGCATCCAATGAATTTAAGCCAATATTTGGAGAGTGCTGTTGTGAGATTGGCTTCAGGGTCGTTGATGCCACAGATACTGACGATGACCTATGTGCCAGATACTGTGGTAGCTACTGGAGACACAGTGGTAAACAAACCCAGGCACGGTTCTTCCTCTCATGAAACTTGTATCTGAGCAATAATGACAAATGTCAAACAAATAATCACAATAACTATAAATTCCAAACTACCACGAGTTCTTGAAGAGAAGATAATCGATATTACTACATAATGCGAGACAAGTACTAGTCAACAGGATATTCTCTGAGAAAGTGGTCATTCAAGTTGAGCTCTGAAGAATGAATGGTCAGCCAGCTGATGAGGGAGGGAAGAGCACTCCACGCAGAAGGGGCAAGTGCAGGGCCCTGAAGTAGGAGGGAGGATGATACTGTTCATAAAGCTTGTGAATTGCTGGTGTGGCCTAAACACACAAGAGCAAAGGACAAAAGATTGAAAACAAAGTTGAAGTTGCAGCCAGAGGCTAGATGAAACAGGATCTTTGAGGTCACATTAAGAATTCTGGTCTTTATCCAAAGAGCAACAGGAAGTCACTGAAAGCTGGAGAGTGGTAGGATTAGATTTACCTACACGAATCATTTTAAGTCAGTGAGTTTTTTTTTTTTTTTTTTTTAAATCCTCACCTGGGGATACTTTTCTATTTATCTTCGGATAGAGTGGAAGGGAAGGAGAGACAATGAGAGAGAGAGAGAGAAACATTGATGTGAGAGAGACACATCAATTGCTTGCCTCCTGCAGGGCCCCACCAGGGACCGAACCGCAACTGAGGTACATGCCCTTGACTGGAATTGAACCTGAGACTCTTTTGTCTGAGGGCAGATGTTCCAACCGCTGAGCCAAACCACCCAGGGCTGAAGTCAGTGAGTTTTTATTCAGCATTTAACAAGTACTGTGCTACTGCTTTAGGGAGTTAAAACTCATATTGGACATGGTCTCTGCTCTCAAGAAATATCTGATGTAGAAATTTGGAAAGAAATAGAGTGTGGTTAAAACATGGAGGCAGGAATGAGAAAGTCTTGGGAAGATAATAGCTAACACATCTTTATTTGCTGAATCATAGCCAATGTGAGCTGATGTACAAAGTTTAGTTTGCTTTTCTATGAAAATGTTCAGGGAAGTGTCACCAGACAAAAGGAGACATAATCAATAATTCTGTCTACTGAAACCCTCTGTCTGTTCACAGATCAGGCACCACAAAAGCAACTATGCATCCAGCTCCACCTCTTTACCCCACCAGTGCTCCTCAACCTTGATGTGGAGTGACCATTTGGAAAGGTGAGATTTAGAAACTGCCTGGATTTACAGCATAGACTTCCCCAACCTCCCTGTTCTGGTCTGAGTTTGTGTTTTAAAGGCAGAATATCTCTAGGAATAAAATGGAAATTCAGCACACATATCTGATTAAGGAAGACTGGATTCCTTAGAGGAGCTCTTGTTGTTTTTATAACCTCATTTAGATTTCCTCCAACTGAGAACTTTCTGAAACTGGGTCCAGTTTGATCATGTGACCAATCCATTTTCATGTCATGAAAGAGCCTGCAGGTCACTGGTTTTTCAAAGTAAGAATGGTGTTGGAGAGTATTTTAAGGCTGTCTATTTAAAGTACCCCCGTTTTAACAGGACAGCAGGACTCAATGCGTTCTCCGTATGGTTAGCACACTCTTGCTTGCCCTTCTGATTAGATCTATTTTGTATAAAGCATGGAATTCAATGAATGAGCAAAAAACAGAACATAATGCCAAATATGGTACACAGTTTCTCATTTTAAAGTTTGAGCACTTGACTTTCCTCCCTTAGACACCTCTTTTCAATATTTCTGTTAATGACTGCAGGGTTGACTGAATGAGTAGCTTCCTGGGTATTATAGCATGGGGGGGGGGGGGGGAGTCTTTTCTGTTTTAATGAGATCATGTAAAAAGTTTCACACTTGGCTTTTTGTATAAGTTGAACTCTTTATTTTAATGAAAAGTCAGCGTGTTAATTTTATTCATTTCCTGGCTAAGGCTGGGTACAATAATTTCTCTGCTCAGTATAAGTTGTTATGATGGATGTGGACATTCAAGAAGCTCAATTTCTTTGGCCATTTATTCTCCCATGGTTGAGGTAACTGAAAGATAATCATTTTTGTTCTTCAGGGATGATCTGAATGTGTTTTTCAATAGAGATACAGTGTGCAACAATACCTAAAGGATTAGAATAAGCTGGTTGATTTTGAAACACAGCTTAAAAACCATGAAGCCAGCAAAATCTTTCTCAACTCACCTCTATGGTCCTAAATCCTTTACCTAAATATGTACATATAATGCACATAACCTGGGCACTCTTTTGCTCTAAACATAGATTCCCCTGGGAAAAAATTGAAGGGGAAAAAAAGAAAATAGCTCCCATCTCTTTATTGAAAGGTATACTCTATTTTCATTTTTAATTTTTTAGAGTACATCTTATACTTTCCCCTCATCATAGAAATAATCCAGGTAGTCCAGCTGGTGTGGCTCAATAGATTGAGCATCGTCCCATGGACTGAGAGGTTCTGATTTGATTCCCAAAGAGGACACATGCCCGGGTATAGGCTCAATCCCCAGTAAGGATGTTTCTATCTCTCTCTCCTTTCCTCTCTGTAAAAAAATCAATAAAAACATATTTAAAAAATAATAAACGCTAATAGCCTCCAGGAAAAAAACTAGAGGATAAGTAAACCTTTCCTTGGCTTGAAAATCTACCCAGGAAAGTAAGACTTGACAGTGGTGTTTAATCTGGGTCCTCCTGTGTTCATCCAAACTCGGTAGAGGAAGCCATAACCAGCAGAACACCAACACCCACAGGGAAAATTTGGCAGGTTCCAAAACCCACGGAGACACCCAAAATGGCAAAACAAAGAAACAAATGCCAAATGCAAGAACAAGATAATTCTGCAGGAGAAGAAATAAATGACATAGAATTAAGTGAGATAACAAAGGGAGAGTTCAGAATAATAATCATAAGGAAGCTCAACAGCATGAGTAAAGATACAGAAACATTGAAACCAACCAAGTGGAAAAGAAAAATGACATAGCAGAAATAAAGAACACATTGGAAAGAATAACCAGTAAAGTAGAGGAAACAGAGGACTGGATCAGAAAATTAAAAGACAGGGTAGAAAAACATCATCCAATCAGAAAACCAAAAAGAAAAAAAACAGTGTAAAAACAGGAAGACAGCCTAAGAGAACTTTGGGACAATATGAAATGTGACAACATCCTCATCATAGGTGTGCCAGGAAAAGAAAATGAGCAAGAGTTAAAGAATATATGTGAAGAAATAGTGAGAGAATACTTCCCTAGCTTGGTGATGGAAAAAGGCATACAAGTCCAAGAATCACAGAGAGCATCAAGGAAGAAGGACCAAAAGAGGCACACACCAAGACACATAATAATTACAATGCCCAAAATTAAAGTCAAAGAGAGAATTCTAAAGGCAACAAGAGATAAGCAACAGGTTACCTACAAAGGAACCTCCATAAAGCTATCAGCTGACTTCTCAACAGAAACACTACAGGCTAGAAGAGAATGGCATGAAGTAATTAGGGTAATGAAAGACCAGATCTGAACCCAAGACTACTCTGTCCAGCAAGGCTATCATTCAAAATAGAAGGTCAAAAAAAGAGCTTCCCAGACCAAAAAAAAAAAAAGGCTAAGAGAATATATCAGCACCAAACCAACACTTCAAGAAATGTTAAAAGGACTGCTGTAATAAGCAGAAGAAATAGGAAGAGAAACATAACCATAATAAATTAAAATGTCAATAAATTAGTACATATCAATAATTACTTTAAACATAAATGGATTAAACACTCCAATCAAAAGTCACAGAGTAGCTGAATGGATAAGAAAGCATGCCTCATATATATATTGTTTACAAGAGACCCACCTCACAACAAAAGACTCACATAGGTAAAAAGTAAAGGGATGGAAAAAAGTTTTCCAAGCAAACAAAAAGGAAAAAAAAACAAAACAAAAAACTGGAGTAGCAATACTCATATCCAATACTCATATCCAAAAATAGACTTCAAAACGAGGGCCATAACTAGAGACATAGAAGGCCACTACATAATATTAAAAGTGTCTATCCAACAGGAGGATATAATCTTGGTAAACATATATGCACCTAACATAGGAGCACCAAATACATTTAAAAACTTCTGGGGGACTTCAAAGGAGAAATCAACAGCAATACAATATAGTAGGGGACTTCAACACCCTTCTGACATCACTGGATATATCCTCCAGACAAAAATTAACAAGGAAACAGAGACTCTAAATGATGTACTAGATCAAATGCATTTAATAGATATCTACAGAGAATTACAACCCAATACCGCAGAATTCACATTCTTCTCAAGTGCACATGAGACATTCTCAAAGATAGACCACATGTTTGGACACAAACTAAGTCTCTACAAGTTCAAGAAGATTGAAATCATATCAAGCATCTTCTCAGATCACAATGCATGAAACTAGAAATCATTACAACAAAAATACCTCAAAATATTCAAACACATGGAGGCTAAATAACATGATATTAAACAACAAATGAGTTGCCAAGAAGATCAAGGAAGAAATAAAAAACTTACTGGAAACCAATGAAAATGAACACATAACAACACAAAACCTATGGGATGCAGTAAAAGCAGTCCTGAGAGGGGAGTTCATAGCACTACAGGCCTACCTCAAGAAACAAGAAAAATTTCTAATTGACTTTCTAATCCTACAATTTAAAGATTTAGAAAGAAAACAAAAAGAAAAACCCAGAGCAAGTGGAAGGAAAGATATAGTAAAGGTCAGAGCAGAAATAAATGATATAGAAACTAAAAAACAATTCAAAGGATCAATGAAACAAAGAGCTGGTTCTTTGAAAAGATAAACAAGATTGATGGACTCTTAGCCAGACTCACCAAGAAACAAAGAGAGAGAACCCAAATACACAAAATTAGAAATGAAAGAGGAGAAGTAACAACTGACACCACAGAAATACAAAGGATTATTTAAAAATACTATGAACAATTGATTATATGTCAATGAATTGAACAATCTAGGTGAAATGGACAAATTTCTAGAAACACATAGTCTCCCAAAACTGAATGGAGAAGAGATAGAACAGTTGAACAGACCAATAACAACTAAGGAAACCAAAGATGTTATCAAGAACCTCACTGCAAACAAAAGCCCAGGCCCAGACAGCTTCATGGGGGCTTTTTACTGAACATTCAGAGATCTAAAACCCATTCTCCTCAAATTAGTCCAAAAAACCCAAGAAGAAGAAAGACTTTTAAACACATTTTCTGAGGCCAGCATAATTCTAATTCCAAAATCAGATAAAGACACTACAAAGATAGAAAACTACAAACCAATATCCCTGATTAACATAGAGGCCAAAATCCTTAACAAAATATTAGCAGATCAGATCCAGCAATACTTTAAAAAAATTATTCACCATGACCAAGTGAGATTCATTCCAGGGATGCAAGGCTGGTACAATATTCACAAATCAATAAATGTGATATACCACATAAACAAAATGAAAGATAAAAACCATATAATCATATCAGTAATGTGGAATAGAGGCATCATATCTTGACATAATAAAGGCCATATACAAAAAAATCTACAGCCAACATTATACTCAATGGGCAAAAACAAAAAGCATTTCCCTTAAGAACAGGATCAAGACAGGGATGCCCACTTTGACACTCTTATTTAACTTTTTACTGGAAGTCTTAGCCACAGCAATTAGACAAGAAGGAAAAATAAAAGGGATCCAAATTGGGAAGGAGGAAGTAAAACTGTTGTTACTTGCAGATGACATGATATTGAACATAGAAAACCCTAAAGACTCCATCAAAAATCTACTAGAGCTAATAAACGAATTTGACAAAGTAGCAGGGTACAAAATTAACATCAAGAAATAAACCTGGCCTGTGTGGCTCAGTGGTTGAGTGTCAATCCATGCACCAAGAGGTCGCCAATTTGATTCCTGGTCAGGGCACATGCCCCATTTGTGGGCCAAATCCCCATTGGGGGGGCATGCTGGAGGAGGCCTATCAATGTTGTCTCTCATCAATGTTTCTATCTCTCTCTTCCTCTATCTCTGAAAATCAATAAAAAATTTTTTTTAAAGAAAGAAAGAAATTGATGGCATTCTTATACACCAATAATGAACTCACAGAAAGAGACACTAAAAAATAATTTCATTTACCATTGCAGCAAAAAAAACTAAGATACTTAGGATAAACTTAACCAAAGAAATAAAAGACTTGTTCTCAGAAAACTACAGGACCTTGAAAAAAAGAAATAGAGGAAGATATAAAAAAGTGGAAACATATACCTTGTTCATGGATTGGAATATTTAACATCATTAAAATGTCCATATTACCTAAAGCAATCTATAGATTCAATGCAATCCCCATTAAAATATCAACGATATATTTCATGGAATGAGACCAAATACTCCAAAAGTGTATATGGAAACAAAAAAGACCTTGAATAGCCACAGCAATCTTGAAAAAGAAGAACAAAGTAGGAGGGATCATAAGCCATGGTAATTAAAACAGCATAGTACTGGCATAAGAACAGGCATATAAATCAATGGAACACAACAGAGAACCCAGAAATTGACCCAAGATAGTATGTTCAATTAATATTTGACAAAGGTGGCAAGAGTATACACTGGAGTAAAGCATCTTCTTTAATAAATGGTGTTGGGAAAACTGAACAGCTACGTGCAAAAATAATGAAGCTAGATCACCAACTTACACCATACACAAGAATAAACTCAAAATGGATAAAAGACCTAAATGACTTGTGAACCCATAGAAATCCTAGAAAAAAAATGTAGGCAACAAAATTTCAGGCATCACACCCAGCAGAATTTTCACTGATACAATGCCTAAGGCAAGAGAAACAAAAGAAAAAAATTAATACATGGTACTACATCAAACTAAAAAGCTTCTGTACAGCAAAAGAAACAACCATCAAAATGGTAAGGGAGTCCAGCTGGTGTGGCTCGGTGGTTGAACACCAACCCATGCACCAAGAGGTCTCCAATTCAATTCCAGATCAGGACATATGCCCAGGTTGTGGGCCAGATCCCCAAGGTGGGGCATGTAGGAGGCTGCCAATTGATGTTCTCGCTCATTGACGTTTCTATCTCTCTTTCCCTCTCACTTCCTCTCTCTCTAAAATCAATAAAGAAAAAAATTTATTTTAAATGGAAAATGAACCCACTATATGGGAGAGCATAATTGCCAATGATACATCAGATAATGGGTTAATTTCCAAAATATATAGAGTACTCATACAACTCAACAAAAGAAAGACAACTAATCCAATTGAACTGGGCAGAGTACCTAAATAGACACCTCTCCAAACAGAACGTATAATTGGCTAGGAAATATATTCAAATATGCTCAACATCTCTATTCATCAGAGAGATGCAAATTATAATGGCTATGAAGTATCACCTCACACCTGTCAGAATGGCAGCCATTAACAAATCATCAAACAACAAGTGCTGGTAAAAATGTGGAGAAAAGGGGACTCTAGTATACTGCTGGAGGGAATGCAGACTGGTGCAGCCACTATGGAAAACACTATGGTATTTCCTCAAAAAATTAAATATAAAACTGCCATTTGACCCAGTGATTCCACTTCTAAGAATATACCCTGAGAAACCTGAAACACCAATCAGAAAGAATATATGCACCCCTATGTTCATAGCAGCACTATTTACAATTGCTAAGATCTGAAAACAGCTCCAGTATCCATCAGTATCCACAGGATAAAAAAGCTGTGGTACATATACACAATGGAATACTATACAGCTATAAAAAACAAAGATCTCTTATCTTCTGAGATGACATGGAGGAACCTGGAGAGTATTATGCTTAGTGGAATAAGCCAATCAGAGAAAGACAAATATCACATAATCTCATTCATTTGTGGAATATAATAAACAATACAATCTGATGAACAAAATAGACCCAAAGACATAGAAGTAGGGTACAGATTGACAAACCTCAGAAGAGAGGGACAAGGAAAGGGACGAAATAAACCACAGAACTTATATGCATGTATGTGTAACCAATGGACATAGACAACAATGCTGGGGGCAGGATGGGATCAGGAGGAGGGTGTCAGTGGGGGAAAAAGGAGAAACATCTGTAACACAAATAAATTAATAAAATTTGCAAAAATATAATAACAACAATAAACCTGGCTATCAACAGAAACTTTGGAATATAAAGAACATTAGAGAGAAAGGAAGCTTACTAAACTTTACTTCCCTTACTTAAGAAAACTCCATCATCATTGTAGTATATTATTTTCCTGCACTTTTCTTGATTTTGTTTTACATATTTATGATAATATTTATATGCATTATTTTATCTTGGCTTATTTCATTTAACCTAAAATAAGCAGTCCCTAGATAATTAGGTTTGTTTTGTTTTTTAATATATTTTCATTGATTTTTTTTTTTTTTTTTGAGAGAGAGATAGAAACATTGATGTGTGAGAGATACACCAATCAGCTACCTCCTGCATGCCCCCCAGTGGGGATTGAACCTATAACCCAGGGCATGTGCCTTGACTGGGAATCAAACGGGGACCTCTTAGTCTATAGGACGAAGTTTAATCCTCTGAGCCACACAGGTTGGGCTTATTATGTTATTTAAAAGTAATTTAAATATTGATGTACTAGTCTATTAAAAGGACACACTATCATTTACTTAATTATAATCTGTGTTCAATTGGCACCACGATGAATAGAACATTATAACTTAAAATTGAAATGTAGAGGTTGTTAAAAATATATTTGAGTGTGTGTTTTTTTTACCATAAGTTTACTTTAAAAAACAAATAATATGTAAAATTATGACATTCTTTAAAGATGCATGTAGTCTGATTTCTTTCCAAAAGAATTATAGAGATTTAAAATTATTTCAGCAATGAATGAGAGTTTCTGCTTTGCTTCACCTTACCAGCACTGTATAGTATCTTAAAAAAATACACACACAATACTTTGTTGGTTTTGATAGAACAAAAATTGCAGGTCACTTCTATTTCAATTTTCATGTCGCCTTCTACCTTTTAGGGTATAGTTATGTACTGATTGGGAGTTTGTTTTTATGGCAAGATTATTTGACCATTAGATGTGTCTACAATTGATATTGCTTCATGATTTTATATTCTTCTGGATTACAAACTTGGAAACCAGGAAAAGTACTCAGAAAAAAAGCATATAATTAGCATAATTAAATGATCCAGAGGCTTAAGTGATTCAAAATCCAAAGTTATTTAAATTGTTTTTATTTTCAAAACACATGTAATTACTTCAAACCGGAATGTTTTGGTATCTAAGACATTTACATTTCTTACTTACATCTTACTCCTCACACCATCAAAAAGAATTATCCCTATTTATGCTTATTACACTTTTCTCTCTCTATTCTAACAGATAATGAAAGGACGGAGATGGACTTTTTCTTACAATTCCTGCTTCTCCAAATTTGCATATTTTTTCCCACCTGAGAAGGAGAATTTTATATTTTGATTTGGATTGTTATTTTATTTTAATCTTTTTTTCACTTTAACGTTTTTGTGTTTCAGTAATACCCCCTGAGAATAGGTTTATTGTTATAACCTACGCCTCTGAATGTAAAATTGACATCTTGAGCCAGATTTTGAGTATGTATTTAAGCAGTTGGGCAGGATTACACAGATTGGCGAAAAGGTGAGAAAAGGAAAAACCCATCTACCAGGAGTTTATCCCCAACTTTAAACCTTTATCTGAACTTCAACAGATATGGACACACCTTTATATTTTGTGGTTGTTTTGATTTTACAATATGAGTTTGAAAAATCAGTATATATTTTTGACAATGTAGAGTCAACATATTGAGAGAAGAATTCAATGAGTAGGGTGTACATTTAATGAGATAGAAAAGTATGTTTTGTGGTACTTATTCTTCCCCAAAACCAAGTCTACTAATGAGAAAACATCACACAAACTCAAACTGAGAGACGTTCTACAAAATACCTCACCAGTACTCTTCCAATGAGTCAAGGTCATAAAAAACAAGGGAAGACTGAAAAACTGGCACAGATCAGAGGAGACTAGGGTACATGATTAAATGTAAAGTGGGATTCTAGACAGGATCCTGGAACAGAAAATGGTCATTAGAGGAAAAATTGGTAAAATCAAAATGATTACAGTTTAGTTCATGTAAATTTTTAGTTTTGACAAATGCACCTTGTAGGATGGTAACATTAGGGGGAGCTGGGTACATGAGTAGTCTTTTTACTTTCTTTGCATCTTTTTTGTAAATCTAAAACCATTCCAAAATAAAAAGTGTGTGTGTGTGTGTGTGTGTGTTTATCCCACCTTTAAAGTAGTCTTGCAAAAAATAAATCTGATCCTAATCAAACCTCTAAATATAAACAGCAGTTTACAGAAAATGCAGCGTGTAAAAGAACATGTTAAACTAGGTCATCTTTGTCTGGTGAACCGAAAGGTCTCTGATTGGACTCCTGGTCAGGGCACATGCCCAGGTTTCAGGCATGTGTGCAGGAGGCAGCCTATCAATGTTTCTCTCTCTCTCTCTCTCTCTCTCTCTCTCTCTCTCTCTCTCTCTCCCACTTTCAATCTCTTATAATCAATAAAAATGTATTTTTAAAAATAAAGTGCATCATGATAATGCAATAAACTCAATCCAGAATGTATTCAATTCTATCAGACAAATGACTCCTTTTCTTCAACAAATAAGGGACATGGAAAACTAAAAAGAGAAAGGGCAGAATTATAGATTAAGATACTTAAGAGACATATCAACTAAATTCATAAACATATATAAAAAGATACTTTGGAGACAATCTGGTGAATCTGAACTCAGATTAAGATTTAGGTAATATTAAAATTATTATTACTGTTTTTAGATGTTATAATATTGTGCTTACATTTATTAAAGAGTCCCTATCTACAAAGAGATATATTGAAGTATTTATGAACAAAATTATATGCCTTCAATTGGCTTTAAAATTTGTGGAAGGAGGGGTATGGTTAGTGTTTCTTACACCACTCTTTTTTTAAAGTGTGTTTTTGTTTATTTCAGAGAGGGGAAGGGAGAGGGAGAGAGAGAGAGAAACATTGCATCAGTTGGCCAACACCTGCATACCCCCTACTAGGGATCCATTCCAAAACCTGGGCATGTACCCCAACTGGAAATCTAACCCTGAACCTCTCAGTGTATCGGATGATGCTCAACCAACAGAACCACACCAGCCAGGACCTTATACCATTCTCTTTATGTTTGTGTATGTTTGAAATTTTCCAATAAAATGTAATAAGAAAAAAGAAGAAGAAGAAGAAGAAGAAGAAGAAGAAGAAGAAGAAGAAGAAGAAGAAGAAGAAGAAGAAGAAGAAGAGAATGTTAATTGCATGCAGGACTATACCAGGACAAAAGTTTTTTATGCAAATTGTGTGATTAATGTTTTGATGTTGTGTCTTTCTGGGGCAAGCTTGGAACTCAAAGTCCCTAGGTCTATATTCTGGTTATATGTCATTTAGTAACTGTGAAATCAGTTTAATTCTTATTTCTCTGTCTTCAGAGACTAGAAGGAGTGGTGAAGCTAAGGGCTTCATAGAAAACAATAATGAGACCCTGGCCAGTTTCGCTCAGTGGTTAGAGCATCAGCCTGAGGTCCAGAGAGACCCGAGTTGGTTCCCACTAAGGGCATGTACCTCGGTTGCAGTTTGTCCCCGGCCCTGGTTGGGTCGTGCGGAGGGCAGCCACTCGATGTGTCCCTTTCAAGTTGATGTTTCTCTCTCTCCCTCTCTTCCTCTCTTTCCCTCCCACTCTATCTGAACAAAAAAATGGAAAAATGTCCTCGGGTGAGGATAAAAAACAAGAAAACAATGATGAGGCCAAATGATTAACTGTTGAGTTAAAGCAGTAAAACATCCAAACACAGCCTTCTGATTCACCACTATCAATTCAGGATTTCTTAAAATTTATTCTCTGGTGGCATGAAAAGGGCAACATTAATAAGTAACATAGCTACTAAATATCAAATTTAGTGGCTTTTTTATGGTATCTATTTTGTCTGAAGTGAATTAAGAAATTATGTACAATTAAAAAATACTTTACATCATATAATATCTTTCAGCTAATATGATTACAGGCAGGTGCCTGTAAGTTCAACCAGTCTTTTCCCCCGCCCTCGCTTCCTCCTTTTCTTCCTTCTTCTCATTTATTTAATTTAACACATATTTAGTGTCCCTTTTTTAGGAACTGTGCTAAGTAAGGGCCACGCTGTCACCCACAGGGATATCTTGGGAAAAGATGATAATACAGTATCAGCAGTCATAGGAGCTTATACTGTGACGCTATTGTCATTTCGCCAGCTAAATTAAGGCAAAATAGTTGAGTCATTCCTCTTAAAAAGTTGAACCGGTTGTGAATTAGTTACAAACTACAATGATTTTCATTCGAGCCAGTACTTGAAATGGCCTTATATAACTAGCGCAAAGCAGATGCTGTACACAATCCCTTGATTCGGGTTTAAATTCAACACATTTTATTGGGCAAGTAGAATTTTCCAATAATAGGAATGTCTGTGCTTCTGTTACATCTATCTGTCTATCATTTATCTTTGTAACCACAAAGATACCTAGCTATTTTCTATTTATTATTTGATTTTTACAAAAGAGGGTGAAGTTTACAGAGGGCTTATCCAATGTCATGGAAATCAAATTCAAGTTCAAATATTTTGATTCCAGGTTCTTCCTATAGCACAGCAGAGTTGACATTTGCTACAGTGACCTTCCATTTATAAGACAATTATGATGTAGTAATATAAGCATGGGTTTTAAAATCAAATTTGGATTTAAATCTAGCTGTTTCACTCACCAGCTCTGTGACCTTGAGAAAGTTAATTAATCTCATGCAGTCTCAGTGAATTAATCTATAAACCAAAGCTAATAATACTTACCTGTGAGGTTACTGTGATAATGTATGTAAAATGAGTGTAACACAAAAGGTACTCATTAAGTATTAACTGTGATTAATTCTTTATCCAGACTTATCTCTAACTATGTGATATGAGTTCTCAGTTTCAACTAAACTGGCTTCCTTACTGTGTGGATTTAAATGTCATGGGCAGAATCAACTTCAGATCCCTGGTTGTTATTCTTGTTTATAACACCTCATGATTATTTTTGCCCATGCAAAACCTACTCATCTTTCACATGTTCAAATCTCACTTTGTCTTTCAGCCTTGAACACTTAAAGTATCTTTGTTCTCTTCTTACCTCTATCCACAACATTGTGGTCATGATTCAGTAACACACTTGCTGATTTTTAACAAGTGCTTTTGTCTTTGTTTTCTTTAATGTCTTCAATAAACACAGATCTTTGTAATTATATAATGAGGTTATATATATATTGAGGATAGAATTAAATCTCAAAATAAAATAAATTTCTTAGGAATTCTGTAAAAAACATTACCTGTGGAGAAATGGCTCTTGATCTGTGTTTTATTGTAATTATAATAATTACTGTAAAGCTCTATGGAATGGATCCATATGTAAAACAAATATGTGGTATTAATATGCTTTAAAAGTGGGCTGTACAGACCTGGTTCTTGACTACATATAATGTATAGGTGTAATTTTAGACCTATGACTTTTGCACGGAAGAAATGGACACCTGCCTACTCCCACCTCCATCGTATTGCAGAACCAGGGCTTTTATTCGGCACCACTACAACCCAGTGTGAAACAAAACAAACAAACAAACAAAATCCCCACTGTACTGCTCCCAAGAGAGGTTATGAAGATGCCAAGCTGTGCCGAGGTTAAAAAACAACAACAACAACGACAAAACAGGGAATGTCAGGGTTGGAAGATTGAACTTCCATAAGAAGCTATATTTATCCAAATTCTCTGAAGGAAAGAGAAGAAAATTAGAGTCATTGTCTTTTATATGTAAATGTGTATGTGTGTCTTATAAGTGGACTTTGGTCCATGAAATATATAAAAATGTAGACAGAGTTGAACTTATTCACATTTTTACTGTCTATAAGAATGACTTTAAAATTTTAAATCGATGATGAAATCCAGGTTATAAGAAAACCATATAAACTACTTAAGGAAACAAAGTTTATCAACATCCTCAATAGTTGAAAGCATATTCCAAAGGAATCCATTGTTAAGATGATTGTAATTATTGAGGTACCTTAAAGATCTGTATAAAATATACCTTGGTTGATATACTTTTAATTACTATGAATCCTTAATGTTTAATTGCTGTCTTTAAAATATTTGTGCTCATGTTTTTCATTAATCCAGGCTGCTACTGAATTTTTTGTTAATTCAAAATATCTCTAGGCTCATCATTCCATGGATAAAAGTGTTTTCCATTTCATTTTTGTCCTAAGGCTTTATTTTATTTTCATTATCTGAAATGCTTTTTTATATAAAAAATAATTTGTACACTATGTATTTTAAGAGCTTTTGTAGTTTTTTGTTTTGTTTTGTTTTTTAATACAAAAACCATATTGTAAGCTCCTTGTGGGCAGGACCCATGTATATCTCTTTGGGTATATCTCTTGTACCTGTAGATTCCAGCATCAGTGCTAAGCACATAGACAGTGCTCAATAAATACTTGTGAAGAGTGTAAGTGACCCGACTGCAGTTTCTGTGAGTGATGTTTAAGACAACTAGGGGACACACGGTAGGTTAGGCATCAAGAGTTGATTCTCTATTTACTTCTCCTCTTTGACCTTGTGCCATTTTGGTCAGCCTTTCAATTTAAGACTATAAGAGAGTCTTCTTTAGACTTCTTGAAGAAAACAACTGTAAATATTCATTGCATATGAGATGATTTCTCTTAGAAAAAATAAATGAGATTAATATAAACCTGCATATAAAATAATTTGTCTTTTAGTCAACTATGTCGTTTCTTACCTTGTAGGAGCTGAATTTCAACTCTACACCCACAGACAAAACTGAGAAAGAGTGTCACAGACCAGTGAGTGACCTTGAACATAATCTCACTTAGCCTTAGTTTCTTTATTTGTAAAAGAGAGTGACACCTTGTAGATTTGTTGCAAAGATTAAAGAAGATACGTGTGAGGCCATTAATTTAAAACCACTATAAATTCCCCAAGGTAAAAGATGGTCCAAAAAGAACCATTTATAGAATGCCTCAATTTTGAATAAGTGGTTGGAATTCAGACTTGAGAGATAGGAACTATGCATGTGCCCAAGCAGCACATGGACATAAAAGAGCCCCACACAGTTCCACTACAATTTTACTACGAGTTCTTTGCCAATCTCCAGCCATTTTTTAAAGAGTTAACTTGATTTACTGAACCAATGGGATTTCCTCTGCAGATGCCAGCACAACTATTTCTGCCAAAATATGAACAGGTGATTTTCAAATAAAACTTCCTAGAGCATAACTCGTGTGCAAGATCTTGCAAAGTTAAAGAGGAAACAGCCTGAGGCTAAAGGCCCCATTACTGTTCAGAGCACGATGTGGGCTATGAGATAAGAAGGAGCTGAAAAGAAGTAGGAGAGTTGCCAGCAAAGGCTATACCATCTGACTGTTTCA